TAATATTCATGCAGTAAACACAGACCATAGAGTTAGCATGCACTCAGAGTCCCCTGGGAGCCTGGGTTAGACTAATACAGATTAAAACATGGCAAGAGGAGGAACACAACTATTAAGCAGGAAATGTGTTACTGCTCTAAATAATGCACGCCCAATACACTGGACAAATCAGCTCCAAATGATAAATTTGGGCTTAATATTAACACAGTCAGTTGGCGAAGTCCCACTGGGTTTGCATGGTCACAGCAAAACAGTATTAAGTTTGGGTAATAAGAAGAAATTACAGCAGGAAAAAGACGATAGCAGAATAAAATGATCAAATATGGAGATAGCAGTCTTAAGGAAGTCTTGAGTACTTTTCTAGCAGCAAACTTTTACTCCTACTTGCGTAAGATTTTTACTGAAGTAGCAGTAATCTTAGCTGAGTAAAAGTTTTGATGACTCTGCCCACTGTGAGCAAGTCTACAAGTGACAAAAGCTTTGTCTGGACAATATGAAATCATATGACATTATTTGAATTTGATTTTTTTCCCCTTCCAATTCCAACAGACCTTCAAGCAGAAAAGTTGCACAGAATGTTTTTAGGTTTCTTTTACTTAAGTAGTAGTCTTCTGAAATACTTTTTTATCCTTATTTGAGTAATTAACTGCTAATTGAACTACCATTTTGTACTTCTATTTGAGTAATACTATTCTGAAGTAATGATACACTTAACTGAATATATTTTTTGGCTACTCTACTCCACCTCTGCTAATGATGATGTGTTTATAGCCAATGTAGTAATATAATTATTTATTTGATCAGGGATTATAAAGTTGAATAGCAAATTAGCAATAACATTTTAAGATTAAGAGGGAGAAGAGAGAAGAGCTAAAAGGCAAAGCTCTCGATTTACTGGTCAATCTACGTTCCTACCCTCACCTGTGGCCATGAACTTTGGGTAATGACCAAAAGGACAAGATCACAGATACAAGCGATTGAAATGAGTTTCCTCTACAGGGTGGCTGGGCACTCCCTTAGAGATAGGGTGAGGAGCTCGGTCACACTGGAGGAGGTTAACATTTGGTGTGGTGAACTGGGAAAATTGTGGAGAATTGAGTTAACAAATCTGCCGATTGTCATTTTTGCGATGTCAAAAACACAAAGTGACCAACCAAATATGGCTTCTACAGCTGTATTTAAAGTTGGCCTAAACACCTAAACAACCACATTTCAAACAGAGCTGAAAAACTGGACCGTACCTGAAGGAAAAAAGGAGAGAAAAGACAAAGACAAGAAGTAAAGGAACAGTGTGATAGGTCTAACAGGTATCCACACTTCATGGAGATGCCATTGCTCTGTCTGGAATGTTCCACAGTACGACATTAAACAGCTCTACCTCACATTTATTCAATTACAGGTGGTTTTATAGCTCAAAAATACCTAGAAAATCAGGCATTCTCACTGTGAGCGGGGTCGCCTCTTCACAGATCTGTAACTTAGTCTGGTTTGGCCTCCACGAAGATAGAAAGGTTTAATGCCATACAGTGAAACATTCCAGACAAAGCAATAACATCATTCCACTAGATAAGTTACACAATGTACCTGATGTTTCTGACCAGAGAGCTGCAGTTTGCCCAAAAGTTGCCCAAAAAATGACTAGGAACTGTGGCTAATGCTATTAAAACATCATATATACAGTTTCGTAGTGAAGAAAGTAGATTTAGTGTTTGGTTCCTCTGTAATTATGACTATATCTTTTCAAAAACATAGTTACTAAGGGCCTTACATACTTCCATACATAAATATGAGGGATGTTTTTGTGTTCATGGTTTTGTTATTAGCTTTTCTTCATAATACCCAGGTATTTACCACAAACTGTGAAACTGTTTTTAACCACAAAAGACCAACCAATTTTTTTTCTCTCCTTTTGAAATATGTTCTAGTGAGTTTTTGACTTTTCATCACACTGCTGGTAGAATTCAAACAGCTGACAAAAACATGACTGGCAAAAGTTCCATTTTAACTAAGATCATTTGAAGTCATTTGTCCATGTGGTGCCAATGATCGCTTCAACTTCGTACAAAGAAACCCCACAATGATTTCCTCACTACAGTAATACACTCAAAGAGGGGATGGACTATTAATTACTAACACATAATATTGCGAATATGCTTATATGTAGATCACCATGTTAACTTTTATTAGGCTATATTTGCCAAAACAGTGCTTTAACATGTTTTATAAGTTTCAATTTAATTTTTGACGCTGAGATTCCCCTCCCTTTGGTCTCAGAGTGCTATCACATTACAATCCGAGTGTCTTTCGCTAATGAAACGACTGCACATCGCATCTGGATTGTGAAGTTGTATTGTATTTATTTATATCATGCTTTTGTGTACTTATGGATAGGGGTGTGGAAAAATATAAAAATATCAATATATCCTATTGTTTAATGTGATGATACAGTATCGATATCGTGGGCTGCTGTATTGATATATCGTGAAGAGTATTTTTTGGTTTATTTTACAAAATGATTTTGTTATAGCTCTACAATTTTGGTGCTTGTTCAGAGGAAGGAAACTCGTTTATGCGACACAGTTGACATTTTCACAGTTTTTTAGGATTGTGTGTTTCATATGAACTTGAACAAGAAGCGGTTTCACAAAGACTTTTAGTATCACAGCCATCATTTAGCCTTTATTTTTTACTGAGCCATATCAAATTAATTTGAAATATATCGTATCGAATTGAAACAGGGTATCCCCAAGTTTGACGACCCCAAATTTAAGACTTTTTTAAGACCTTTTTAAGACCAATTAAGACCAATGTCACAACCATTATGCGGGCAAAAAACACCAGATCGAATTCTAATAATGACCAACCAACTACGGTACTGTATCTAGAATCTAAGGCTACGTTCAGACTGCAGGGTTTAACTCTCAATTTGGATTTTTTTGTGAAATCCGATGTTTTTGCGAGGTCGTTCACATTTCTACTTAAATGTGACTTGTATGTGATCTCCAGTGTGAACAATAAACGTCCCAAAAGTGTCCCGCATGAGCAATGGAGGACACGATGACGTCAACCACAGCGAGCGTGCTCTGTGTTTATGGAAGTTGTCCAAACATGGACGCGAGTATTGAGCACCTAGCAATTTTAAAACTTCCTCTCGTACCGGAGCCAGAACATGAACAAATTACTTGTTTTAAGGAGGAGATTGAGAAGGAGAAGGACGAGTTTTTTGGCCGTAGCGTTTTGTGGGGCAGTGGCAGCAACGTCCATTGAAAGGAACGTGTGGATGTGGAGAGTGGTGTGGATGTGGAGAGCCAAGAGTGGTGAGTGGCGATGTGCTTTGCTTCAGTGACGCAGAGTTCATTAACAAATTTCGCCTACTTCAGCGCAGAATAGTGACATTTGTGGCTTGTTGATAACGTGTAGGTCGGATGAATGCACTTTGGCCATTCAGACTGAAGTCGCATGTCAAAGATCGGATATGTATCGATTTTAGGACCACATATCGAAGTGGCCTGGGTCGCATTTGAAAAAATGGGATCTGTGTCATTCAGACTGTCATTAAAAGATCAGATACAGGTCACATAGAGGCCAGAAAATCAGATTTGGGTCACTTCAGGCTGCAGTCTGAACGTAGCCTAAGAGCCACTGTGGATTCAACCCACACTTCCCCATGATCCATCCAACATCTTCCTCCACTGTACTGATTATTTACTCTTTGCCGCTGGCGCCAGAAACCAAAGTATTGTTTGCTTATACTCCAAATTAGACGTTCATTCATGTTATGTGATTTCACGTTGTTGTCTCTCTCCATTTAACATTGCACTGCAGCCCGGTTTAATATACAAAAAAAATAGTCTAATGAATTTTAAGACATTTGTGAGAAAAATAAGACATGGACAGCATAATTTAAGACTTTTTAAGACTTTTAAGACCCACGGCTACCTTGTGAAAGAGCACTGTATCGAGATATGTATCGTATCGTGGCCCATGTATCGAGTTAAGTATCGTATCAGCAACTGCTTATTGATACCCAGCCCTGCTTATGGAGAATTGTCGTGTGGGAGCATGGGTGACGTAGACTTGTGAACTGATAATACAGCCAGGGAGAGATTGCTAGATTCCTCAAAAATGCATGGGTGAGACATACAAACCTCTGCAGGCGTGTTTTTGAAGAGGGTAAAAAGGTCCAGAAAGGCAGTTAGTCGATTTTGCATAATACCCCTTTCTACAATACCCCATTTTCACTTTTAACAAGTTACATTAATATTCCTCCTCCTCTCCAAACAGCAGCTGCAGTCTAGTGCTATAGAAGTACTAGAGAATCATTTGAAAGCAGATCAAAAGGAGCCGTGTCTGTGCCTTTTTCTCCTCCACACAAGAAGGCTGTGAAGTAGCCTCAGAAAGTGCAGAGCAATCGTGTATAGTGCTTCTATAACACTTCTATCAGTGGTCCCATGCAGGTCCTATATTCTGCACTCTGTCTGCTGTAGACCACAAACCAGCAGTGTCCCAGAAAGCGCTTGATTACTGCACTACAGCACCATGACATAGTTAAACCAGTGGCAGGACATTTCAGCAAAAAATGTGAAACAATAAAATTTATCACATCAATTCAGTTACAGATTTAGATCTTTTTTAAAGATCTAAATTTGCCTCAAATGAAGGAGAGCATACGTCTTACGAAATTGACTAGCTCTAAACTTGTTTTTTTTTTAAATAACTTTGTGATTCTTAAAATGTTTAAATAAAAATATTATATTTAAAAAACAACAACATTCTGAATCAGAGTGGTTACCACGGCAACACCATAATTCTTTGTAAAGCTTTGTGATGTCACAGAGACACAGAGTCTGTATGGGTGTGCTGTCCGTTCAGACGTCATTTAAACCAAGAATCCAGAGCGAACACAAGTTCTTAGACTATAGTCAGCTACATACAACAAACATAACCACATAGAAAAGATATTTATTTCAGTCTAGACATCATTTTAAACCAGAAAAGAAATGGCAACAATAGATTCAAGTACAAAGGAAAGCGAGAAGCAATGCCTCCTCTGCTGTCAAGAAATCGACATCTTTGCCCTTGGAAAATGTGACCATCCAGTATGCTATCGTTGTTCCACTAAAATGAGGGTGTATTGCGATCAAAAGTACTGTGCACTGTGCCGAGAGGATCTAGATAAGGTGGTATTTGTGAAGAAACTCCAAGATTTCGCATCTGTACCCTATCAGAGGTTCCCATGTGATCAAAATCATGGCATATATTTTAAGGATGAGAGAGTCTTTGCACAGTACAAGCGTCTTTTGCTGCCACAGTGCATTCACTGTCCAGAGCCAAAAGTCTTCTCAACATTTGAAGAACTGGAGCGTCATATGAGGAAGCAGCATAAACGTTTTTGTTGCAGGCTCTGCTCAAAACATCTCAAGATGTTCTCCTATGAGCGCAAATGGTACACCCAAAAACAACTGGCCTGTCATCAAACTCATGGAGAACCTAATGACACAAGTCACAGAGGACACCCACTTTGCAAGTTCTGTTATGTACGATATCTAGACAATGACGAACTGTTTAAACACCTGCGCAAAGATCACTTCTTCTGTCATTTTTGTGATGCTGATGGATCACAAGAATATTACTGTGACTACCAGAAGCTGAGTGAGCACTTCAGACAGAGTCACTATCTGTGTGAGGAGGGCCAGTGTGCTACGGAGAAGTTCACTCATGCTTTCCGTACAGAGATTGATTTTAAAGGTCATAAGGCTGCAGTGCACAGTAAGAACCGCCAGGTCAACCTGGAGTTCAACTTACCCCCAAGACCTCACAGACGAAATGACCGTCAAGCAGCCAGAAAGGGGTCATCAGCAGTGAGCGGTCAGAGAGGGGCCATGAAAGACAAAAGAGCTTCAAAGGTGGAGGAGAGAGCAGAGAGAGCTTATCCAGGGGAACAGCCATCTGTGTCAGACCCTGTTAACCCTACAGCCAACATGCCCCCACTAAAAACCATGGCAAGCAGAAATCCTGAAGATGAGTTCATCGGTTTGGGAGCCACTGTAGCATCCCCGACACCACAAGACACTCATGCACACCTTCAAGAAGAATTCCCAAGTTTGCCTGTGACCAGTGTTTCTACACGCAGGCGTCCAGTGTACTTGGAAAGTGTTTCTACAAGAAGGCTTCCAGCGTACTTTGCTCCACCTAAAAAGACGACGTTTTTCCAGGAAGAGGATTTCCCTGCTCTTGCTTCTATGACCCACACCCCTGCTACGACTAAACCTGCTCCCATCTGCCCAGGTCTTGAGCTTCTCTCTTCCACGAGCATGCCATCCTCCGAGAGGAAAAACAAGATAGGAGAGAGTGGCAAAGCTTCGATTAAACGGTCTAATTCAAAATCAGATGATGAGAGTGGAGGCTTGATCCGGCAGGAGTTTAGGGCAGCGCCCACTTTGTCGGATATTGCTTCACTCCTCAATGGAAAAGGAAGCGGTGATATGACAGAGTCCTCTCCTGTGAAAAAAACCTCTGATCAAACCCAGTTTAGCTAATGGCTATTCTGATAAATCCCCCCTCTCCAAACAAAAGAGTCCAGTCCTGGTCTTGGGGAGTACTGTGCCTGAGTCTTCCTCCTCTAGCAGCCCTTCATTGACATCTGGGGGGTACCGTATCCCAGAAGACTTTGAACAGAGGAATCTGGACCTCACTTTATCTATTAAGAAGTACCTCCTCAACAACGAATCAAAGTTCAACCAGTTTAAAAACTACTCTGCACAATTCAGGCAGAATGTCATTTCAGCCACACAATACCACCACAGCTGCATGGACCTGCTCGGAGAGAACTTGAGCTGCATCTTCAATGAACTGCTCGCTCTCTTCTGCCGGACATAAACAAGCAGCAGGAGCTACGTACTGCTCATGTAGACAGCAGAGTGTTGGAGAACCAGACTGAGGGAAGCAAGAGGAAGAACAAAAAGAAGAACAAGAACAAAAAGAATTCATGCCAAACTCCTCCCACTATTTCCAGTGCTGCTAATGAATGTGACTACCAGACTTGTCCCACCTGCAGACAGGTGCTAGCTCCCAAAGACTTAATCTCCCACAAGTCTCTGCACACGATGGAGAGCAAAGAGCTCCATTCATTCCTGTCAATTAGCCGTCTCATCTGCTAAGAAAACTGCAGCTTTCTTAAATTATCCAAATGCATCAGGGCTGGTGAGTGTCTTAAACCTTCAAAAATATGTTGGTAGAAGAAATGTTCCATTTACGGACATTACTCACCTTTATGTTACAAAAACTTAAACATTTGTAGCATACATTTAAATTTGTTTGTGCAGGGATGACTTCGATTCTGGTGGAATCCCTCAGATGACATTTTAGATGTGCATGTTGCTTATCCCCTGATGCAGGAGCTTTGATTTTATGCTGCATGTTGTGTTGAGGACCCCCTCGCAAAAAGACGTCACATTTCTTCTAAAAATAAATAAACATATTTTTATGTTTATGGTGTTTATTGTTTGTTGACTAGACCAGAGATCTGAAAACTGAATTGTCCTTTTAGGATTAATAAAGGGTTTTTTTCTTGTTTGAAAGTGCAAAAAGTATTGTTTCATAGTTTTACTTATCAATATTCTTCAATGAAAATCAATAATACAGTATTATGTGTCACTATTAGAAAAGATGTATATGAGTATCCAATCAGATTTGGTGTTATTTTGGGGGTTACCTGTTCAGAAATGCCCTCTTTTTCCTTGGGCATTCTGTCTGTAAGCTGCTGGCCCTTGTGTTAAAATTGACCAATCAGATCGTCTCTTTGCAGTTGATTGACAGTCAGACAGCAGCACTGGTGCATGGGCTTAGTCCCACCCACAGGCCAGCTGTTTGCTCAGCACTCAGCCTGTCCTGTCATGATTGGACAATCTTTCAGTTGGCACTAGAGGGTTTATTTGTTTAAAAAATATATATATATATCAATATATAAATGAACCTAAATAAACCTAAATAAACCTAAAACATGGCCAGTTGTGAATGTTCTTTGTTAAACTCTTAAATGTGATGCTCTTAACTGCATGACCAGACCTGCAGACCAGACAAGTGAGTCTGTTTCAAAATGGTATAGACCTAAAACTGTAACAAACTTGAACAACAGATATTTCAGCAGTGAAATTAAATCACCTCCAGAGGAAAATTCTATGGCGTAAGAAATTGACTAGCTCTAAACTTGTTTTTTTTTTTTTTTTTTTTAAAAACAACTTTGTGATTCTTAAAATGTTTAAATAAAAATATTATATTTAAAAAAAAACAACATTCTGAATCAGAGTGGTTACCACGGCAACACCATAATTCTTTGTAAAGCTTTGTGATGTCACAGAGACACAGAGTCTGTATGGGTGTGCTGTCCGTTCAGACGTCATTTAAACCAAGAATCCAGAGCGAACACAAGTTCTTAGACTATAGTCAGCTACATACAAACAAACATAACCACATAGAAAAGATATTTATTTCAGTCTAGACATCATTTTAAACCAGAAAAGAAATGGCAACAATAGATTCAAGTACAAAGGAAAGCGAGAAGCAATGCCTCCTCTGCTGTCAAGAAATCGACATCTTTGCCCTTGGAAAATGTGACCATCCAGTATGCTATCGTTGTTCCACTAAAATGAGGGTGTATTGCGATCAAAAGTACTGTGCACTGTGCCGAGAGGATCTAGATAAGGTGGTATTTGTGAAGAAACTCCAAGATTTCGCATCTGTACCCTATCAGAGGTTCCCATGTGATCAAAATCATGGCATATATTTTAAGGATGAGAGAGTCTTTGCACAGTACAAGCGTCTTTTGCTGCCACAGTGCATTCACTGTCCAGAGCCAAAAGTCTTCTCAACATTTGAAGAACTGGAGCGTCATATGAGGAAGCAGCATAAACGTTTTTGTTGCAGGCTCTGCTCAAAACATCTCAAGATGTTCTCCTATGAGCGCAAATGGTACACCCAAAAACAACTGGCCTGTCATCAAACTCATGGAGAACCTAATGACACAAGTCACAGAGGACACCCACTTTGCAAGTTCTGTTATGTACGATATCTAGACAATGACGAACTGTTTAAACACCTGCGCAAAGATCACTTCTTCTGTCATTTTTGTGATGCTGATGGATCACAAGAATATTACTGTGACTACCAGAAGCTGAGTGAGCACTTCAGACAGAGTCACTATCTGTGTGAGGAGGGCCAGTGTGCTACGGAGAAGTTCACTCATGCTTTCCGTACAGAGATTGATTTTAAAGGTCATAAGGCTGCAGTGCACAGTAAGAACCGCCAGGTCAACCTGGAGTTCAACTTACCCCCAAGACCTCACAGACGAAATGACCGTCAAGCAGCCAGAAAGGGGTCATCAGCAGTGAGCGGTCAGAGAGGGGCCATGAAAGACAAAAGAGCTTCAAAGGTGGAGGAGAGAGCAGAGAGAGCTTATCCAGGGGAACAGCCATCTGTGTCAGACCCTGTTAACCCTACAGCCAACATGCCCCCACTAAAAACCATGGCAAGCAGAAATCCTGAAGATGAGTTCATCGGTTTGGGAGCCACTGTAGCATCCCCGACACCACAAGACACTCATGCACACCTTCAAGAAGAATTCCCAAGTTTGCCTGTGACCAGTGTTTCTACACGCAGGCGTCCAGTGTACTTGGAAAGTGTTTCTACAAGAAGGCTTCCAGCGTACTTTGCTCCACCTAAAAAGACGACGTTTTTCCAGGAAGAGGATTTCCCTGCTCTTGCTTCTATGACCCACACCCCTGCTACGACTAAACCTGCTCCCATCTGCCCAGGTCTTGAGCTTCTCTCTTCCACGAGCATGCCATCCTCCGAGAGGAAAAACAAGATAGGAGAGAGTGGCAAAGCTTCGATTAAACGGTCTAATTCAAAATCAGATGATGAGAGTGGAGGCTTGATCCGGCAGGAGTTTAGGGCAGCGCCCACTTTGTCGGATATTGCTTCACTCCTCAATGGAAAAGGAAGCGGTGATATGACAGAGTCCTCTCCTGTGAAAAAACCTCTGATCAAACCCAGTTTAGCTAATGGCTATTCTGATAAATCCCCCCTCTCCAAACAAAAGAGTCCAGTCCTGGTCTTGGGGAGTACTGTGCCTGAGTCTTCCTCCTCTAGCAGCCCTTCATTGACATCTGGGGGGTACCGTATCCCAGAAGACTTTGAACAGAGGAATCTGGACCTCACTTTATCTATTAAGAAGTACCTCCTCAACAACGAATCAAAGTTCAACCAGTTTAAAAACTACTCTGCACAATTCAGGCAGAATGTCATTTCAGCCACACAATACCACCACAGCTGCATGGACCTGCTCGGAGAGAACTTGAGCTGCATCTTCAATGAACTGCTCGCTCTTCTGCCGGACATAAACAAGCAGCAGGAGCTACGTACTGCTCATGTAGACAGCAGAGTGTTGGAGAACCAGACTGAGGGAAGCAAGAGGAAGAACAAAAAGAAGAACAAGAACAAAAAGAATTCATGCCAAACTCCTCCCACTATTTCCAGTGCTGCTAATGAATGTGACTACCAGACTTGTCCCACCTGCAGACAGGTGCTAGCTCCCAAAGACTTAATCTCCCACAAGTCTCTGCACACGATGGAGAGCAAAGAGCTCCATTCATTCCTGTCAATTAGCCGTCTCATCTGCTAAGAAAACTGCAGCTTTCTTAAATTATCCAAATGCATCAGGGCTGGTGAGTGTCTTAAACCTTCAAAAATATGTTGGTAGAAGAAATGTTCCATTTACGGACATTACTCACCTTTATGTTACAAAAACTTAAACATTTGTAGCATACATTTAAATTTGTTTGTGCAGGGATGACTTCGATTCTGGTGGAATCCCTCAGATGACATTTTAGATGTGCATGTTGCTTATCCCCTGATGCAGGAGCTTTGATTTTATGCTGCATGTTGTGTTGAGGACCCCCTCGCAAAAAGACGTCACATTTCTTCTAAAAATAAATAAACATATTTTATGTTTATGGTGTTTATTGTTTGTTGACTAGACCAGAGATCTGAAAACTGAATTGTCCTTTTAGGATTAATAAAGGTTTTTTTTTCTTGTTTGAAAGTGCAAAAAGTATTGTTTCATAGTTTTACTTATCAATATTCTTCAATGAAAATCAATAATACAGTATTATGTGTCACTATTAGAAAAGATGTATATGAGTATCCAATCAGATTTGGTGTTATTTTGGGGGTTACCTGTTCAGAAATGCCCTCTTTTTCCTTGGGCATTCTGTCTGTAAGCTGCTGGCCCTTGTGTTAAAATTGACCAATCAGATCGTCTCTTTGCAGTTGATTGACAGTCAGACAGCAGCACTGGTGCATGGGCTTAGTCCCGCCCACAGGCCAGCTGTTTGCTCAGCACTCAGCCTGTCCTGTCATGACTGGGCAATCTATCAGTTGGCACTAGAGGGTTTATTTGTTAAAAAAATAAATAAATAAATAAATAAACCTAAATAAACCTAAAACATGGCCAGTTGTGAATGTTCTTTCTTTTCACTTTTTTATTTTTAATTTGGGTTTTTCTATTGAATTTATTTACTTTTACTTTGTAGTACCATTATTTTTAACATAGTGCTTACATTTTTTACATCTTATATCTCATACATACGCATCTAAACATTTTGACATTTTACCGCCATGGCTTTCTTGGATCCAGGTCAGTGGAAATCTGCTGTCAGAGGTACTATAACTCCTCTACTTTACTTCTAAATTTGTGAAATAATAGTAATGTTGCTAGCAGTGCTTATAATGAATACATCTTGTAACTCCTCCATACATTGTTGTGGAGTTTCTGTCTGCTGCTTGGATTCAGGTCAGTAGGAGTTAGAATTGTAAACAGGATTGTAACAGCACACTTATACTTAATGTATAAATCTCTGTGGTATCATTCTACCTTGCCGTAAGTACATCTTGTTTCTCTGCCATACATTCTTCTGACCTGGAGTCACCGTCCCGTCTGGTGTTGTGATCTGGGTCAGTAGAAATCTGCAGTCAGAGATAACAAGTATCTTAATGTCTCACTTTTACTCATACCATTATTGTACCTTACAATACATATAATGATACATACATTGTACTGGAGTTACCTACTCCTTGTCTGATGCTTGGATCCAGGTCAGTAGAAGTCTGTGTTTAGAGATAATAAGTATCCTAACGTCTCACTTTTACTTATAACATTATATTATTGTGCCTTAAAGTGCAGCCTAGAGATATAAGATATATTCATTATAAATTAATACATTTTATATCACTACCATACATTGTCCTGGAGTTACCTACTTCCAGTCTGATACTTGGATCCAAGTCAGTAGAAGTCTGCAGTTAGAGATAATAAGTAACTTCTCACTTTTACTTAAAACATTATTGAACCTTACAGTGTTTATAATGAGTACATTTTATATCGCTACCATACATTCTTCTGGAGTTACCTACTTTCTGTCTGATAGTTGGATCCAAGTCAGTAGAAGTCTGCAGTCAGCGATATGTAACTTCTCACTTTTACTTATAACATTACTGTACATTACAATGTTTATAATGAGTATATCTAATATGCTCCCTCCATACATTGTCCTGGGGTTAGCTACTTCCTGTCTGATGCTTAGATCCAGGTCAGTAGAAGTCTGCAGTTAGAGATCATAAGTTCCCTAATTTCTCACTTTTACTTACATTATTGCACCTTTTAGTGACCATACCGGCTTGTCAAAGTGTTACATCTCAGAAGCTAAGCAAGGCCGGGCCTGGTTAGTACTTGGATGGGAGACCACTGGGAATTCCAGGTGTCACAGGGGGACGCAAGTGGCAAAAACTGTTGTTGTGTCCTTAGGCAAGACACTTCACCTACTTTGCCTGGTAAGAAAGTGGAGTGTTGGTGGACGGAGGGGCCTTTGGTGCAGATTGGCAGTCTTGCTTCTGTCAGTTTCATTCAGTGTGGAGTGAACAAAGTGCTTTGGGTGTCTCAAAAGGTGCTATATAAATGTGATAATGAATGAATTAAATAGTGCTTATAATGAGTACATCTTATATCCCCTCCATGCATTGTCCTGGAGTTACCTATTTGTCTGATGCTTGGATCAAGGTCAGTAGAAGTCTGCAGTTAGAGATGATAAGTGCCCTAACGTCTCACTTTTACTTCAAACATTGTTGTACCTTACAGTGCATGGTAGATGTATAAGATGTACAAATTATAAATTTGTATATTTTATATATCGCTACCATTCATTGTCCTGGAGTTACTTCCTTTCTGCTGCTCGGATCCAGGTCAGTAGAAGTCTGCAGATAGAGATAACAAGTACTCTAACGTCTTACTTTTACATTGTTGTACCTTACCGTGCTTATTATGAGTGCGTCTTATATCCCCCTCCATACATTGTCCTGGAGTTACCTACTTCCTGTCTGATGCTTGGATCCAGTTCAGTACAAGTCTGCAATCAGAGATGATGAGTAACTTCTCACTTTTATAACACTGTTGTACCTTACAGTTCTTATAATGAGTATTTTATCCCCCTGATACATTGTCCTGGAGTTTCCTACTTCCTGTCAGATGAAGTGATCCGGGTCAGTAGAAGTCTGTGGTTAGAAATAACAAGTCCCTTAACTTCTCTCACTTATACTAGTAACATTATTGTACCTTACAGTGCGTGGTAGAGATATAAGATGTACTCACTATAAATTAGTGCATTTTGTATTGCTACTGTTCATTGCCCTGGATTGAGCTACTTCCTGTCTGAAGCTTGGATCCAGTTCAGTAGACGTCTGCACTCAGAAAAGATAAGTAACTTCTCATTTTTACTTATAACATAATCTTACCTTATATCTTATATCCCCTTCGTGTACTGTACATTGCCCTGGAGTTACCTGTCTGGTGCTGTGATCCGGGTCAGTAGGCGTCTGCGGTCAGAGGTGGCGGAGGAGGTGTCACGTAGCCTGCTTTAACTGGATCCTCTCTGAGCCTCTTATAGTTCCAGCTCGGTCCATGATCACCGCGCTCTGCTCCGTGGCCCACTTACAGCTCAGGTATCTCTCACAGACACAAGATTAGTGCGTTACCAGGGCTAGAGGAGATCTGCTGTCAGAACTTCTCCCTGTGGTGCCTATTTTTAAAAGACCAGAGCCAAGTCAGCGTATTTTTTTACTCCACATCTCACTACACCTTCTCTATGTTAGAAGAGGGACTGTGAATTACGCAATGGTGGAATATTATGTAATACAAAGTCATGAGTAACAAGCCAATCAAGTGTTATGTTGTGAGACAGCTGGTGGAATTTACTCATTGGAATCACAATACAGAAAAAGACGCATTGTAAGCCTCTATTTCAGCTGTCATCTTTTCACGTTTGGTCTTGACTGTGATCATAGTCAGATGAGAAATACTGTACATTATTCTCCAATTACTGCCTGAACGCCAACTACACATACTTCAAGTTTCAATATATATATATATATTTATTTAATATTTCCTTTTTCATTGTGATGTAAACACGTCCAAATTAGCCCTGGCAAGAGACATGGATACTTACTAATTAGCGTGAGATTACATTAAGAAGATTAACCTACTTTTACCTGTCCCTAGAAAATAAAAGATAAACAAACTGATTACTGAGACTGAACTGAAACCAGTGTACTAAGAGAGAAGATATAGAATAAAAAATAGCTATGACCAAAAAAGTAAATAAAATAGTAAATATAAGAGTATACAGTCGTCCCTCGCTATATCGCGTAGTTTTGCAGATTTTTTTAGTGCAGTTTTTTTATAGCATAGGAGTGCGTTTTGTGTTCCTCCCCCCTGCATCCTGATTGGTTAAGGGATTGTAGAGCATTGTCAATCAATCTCCTCAGTGCCGTGTACAGAATACATTCAGCTGGCCAAATTTACATAAATGTTTGATCGCTAGCAGTGTGATTCTGAAGTGCAGCGCGATCAGACAATTGCCGTGCTTACCGTGAGGTGCGGAGCTCTCCGTCGGTCCTTTCTCCTGCTGTCGCCTCTGAGCCCGTCCCGATCATGAGTCCTGGTTCAGTCCTGGTTTACTCCTCTTTCAGTCCTGTGTTAGTGCTAGTTCAGTCCTGGTTCAGTCCTGGTTTGCTCCTGTTTTAGTCCTGTTTTAGTCCTAGTTCAGTCCTGGTTTACTCCTGTTTTAGTCCTGTTTTAGTCCTAGTTCAGTCCTGTTTTAGTCCTAGTTCAGTCTTGGATTAGTCCTCCTCTTCAGTCCTGGAATCAGTCCTAGGTTAGTCCTGGTTTAGTCCTGGTTTAGTCCTGGTTTAGTCTTGGTTCAGTCTGAGGCATAGGCAACACAATATAAATTTGATATAATCTCGGGTTAACAGGGGGTGTGGTGCTGTACTGCGCAGGTGCGGGTCTCCAAAAATGGACTCGTGCAGGACTCCATTATGGAATAATTTAATTTTCGGTTTGTTACATAAAGGAGGAAAATAACAGCAGCAATAAGTTGTAAAAAGGATGCAAAAAGGGTTGTAACTGTCCTGTCTGAGAAAAGTGTATAAAGTGTGTGGTGAGGAGATTTACAGCCTTAAAACATATAGAATAATTGTAAAATATAAAGTTGACTACTTCACGGGTTATTTTTAGAACGTAACCCCCGCGATAAACAAGGGACCACTGTACACGAAGACAAAGAGGATGACACGCACACATCAAGATTTGGTGTCCTGATTTCTTTGTGAGCTCCTACGTTTTGAGGCGAGTGTGCCTGCCATCCATGTTCCTGAAGGTTAAAATGAAAGTCATAGTGAATCACCTCTGTGACTGTTCACGGTCCACCTCATCTCACCTTTGGCCCCCGACCCCTGACCCCTGGTGAGGGTAAGGCCTGTGAATAAACAGTGAATTACAAGTCAA